ACACACCCAGTTACTCACACACATTCACTTGTTCACTTCACATTCACACCCTCATAGACAAACTCACACTCACATGTACAAACTTACATATGCACTCAAGCCTGCACACACACACACACACACACTCGCTGCGCTCACTTCCACCTCTCCACACTTAACACCCTCACATCCACATACTCAAACACTTTAGTGGGTTGAACTGTATCCCCCCAGAGTCATCTTCACCCAGAACCTCAGCTGGGACCTTATTTGAAAATGAACCCTTCACATGTATAACGAAGGTAAGGACTGAGATGACATTATACTGCATTAGGATGAACCCTAAATCCAATGAAAGCCCTTAGGAGAGGCAAAGGACAGCAGAGGCATCCAAGAGAAGATGAGGTAGACACTGGAATGCTGTGGCCACAAGCCGAGGAAGCCTGGGAGGACACGGACACACGCACCCACTCACACACGACAGCCTCACAGCCCGGTTCTGACTCTGTGGCCCACAGCACTCCCTGCATACATGTCTTGTCCATCCTTGCCCTCTCCACCAACATGCGCAGCAGTCCACGCAGTCTTGGTGTCTTCACTCTGCATGACTTCAGCATGGGCTCCAGCAGACAGAGTTTGCAGTAAATTAACAGCGCTGGTGAGCATCATTGCAGTGGGGTGAATCTTCCCTTCAATTTGTTAAAACTTCTGAAAAAAAATCAAAATTAGAAACTACACTCCCAAATAAATGGGAAAGTGTCTCCACACGTAACTTAAGGGATTTGACTTCACATTCTTCTTTTCTTACTTTGGAAAGGGAAGCAGCTCTTTATATTTGAAGATGAAATTCAAGGTCCACTAAATAAACACCCTATTCAGCTCCATCCCTACCTCCTTCAAAGGAATCAAGCCTTTTAAATATTTTTTAAAGCAATCTCAGCATACAGCTCAGAAGAACTAAAACAATTATAAAAACTCACTTCTCAGAAAAACAGCTCATCAAATGTCAAAAGCTGGTTGTTAATGAGCTGGCTATGCGCAGGATGAAGATGAGGTGGCTGCCTCCATGGATGCAGAGCTAGGGGCACACATGTCCAGGCCACCTTCCTGTCACTTGGCCAGCCCTGCTCAGGCCGACTTCCT